TGGTCTAGAGGTTAAGGTCTTCGCCTCTCATTCAATAGGTCCCGGGTTCGAATCCGGATAGCGACGAAAAATTTTCGTCTGTAAAACGTTCTCCTTTTCCATCCTTTCCTGCTCTCTAACAATGTTCTTTCGTCTGTTTTCGTCTCCACTTTCTGCTCCCACACTCTCAACTCATTTGTTTCCTCCTCTGGGCTCTTTTTGCAGCCTTTTTACAGCTACTCATTGGCTCATTCTTACTGCTGTCTTTCAGCCACACTGCTGATCTTATGATAGGTAAAATCTACACCTAGCCTTCTCGGATAAGGGTGAAAAATCTCGGAGGTCCCGTGTGCAAGTTGCGCACGTTGAAGATCCCTTGGTGGTCAAGAACCGATAAGAGTAAGCTTCGACTGCCACCCGGGCAAAAAAATTCAAAGTTTTCAAACAACTGAAAATATTTAATGCGCCCTGCACGCTCGTATGACCCTGTGCAGTTGCGAGCGACGTAAAACATTTACTTCCAAAAATATTGTGCAAAAAACATATACTGCGTGTGTATGCGGAATATAGGGTGTGAAAGTGTGTGTGTGTATGTGTGTGTGTGTGTGTGTGTGTGTGTGTGTGTGTGTGTGTGTGTGTGTGTGCGCGCGCGCACGTGAAGTGAAAGGTTTCGAATTGCCGAACTCCAGGGTATGTCCACTGTTCTTCGATTTTCAATTTCTGAGCAGTTTTGAACGAACAGGTACACACACAACGAGCACACATAAAAAATTATCTCGAAATTATCCATCGTCCATGCATGAAGGAACTTTGAATCGAACAAGATCCTTTATCATTAGAGGCAAGCAATATTCTGATACAGAGATTGAATGAGACTGACTTTCTGCACCATGTCTATTTTGAAAGATTTCAAGAACTACTCAGATCTCCTCTCAAAGACACATATTTGTAAACACAATTGTGAGGCAGCGAGGTGGAATCAGGCTCTCGTCAATTTTGGGGCATTTAGAGTTATTGGTATTATCTTAAAGTTTGTTCACTTGCCTTTATTTGGATGAAATGAAAAAACTATCCATTTATCTTGAGTACAAGTCGAGAGAATTGCCTAAGAAGGAGGTGGGGGTCACCTGTTTTCAGAGGTAAAATTAGTGAGAAAATGGCCGCCAAAGATTTGTCATTTACTTAGCTTAAGAGACCGTGGTAACTGAAAATTTACATTTTTTGAGCCTTTAATCAACACATTTCAGAAAAATAAACACAGAAATGAGTTCTTTAATGGGCATGAAAGGTGTTAAGCTAAAAAACAAAAATTTAATAAAAATTCACAAACCTGCGGAAAAATGCAAGTTTCTACACTTTGATCGTTTTGACAAGAGCCTGATTCCACCCCGCTGCCTCACAATTATCTTTAAATAAAACACAAACGTTTGGTTTTTTTATACCTTTTTATTTGTGTTTCTCACATGTTCATTTCTTGTTGCCTTATTCAATGCCAGCAGTGAACGCTAATGATATAGAAGAGAAAAGGAAATGCTAGAACAATTATGTACAATACACGAAACGAAAGCAAGAGATAGGCGAGGGTTAAGTCGTCAAAGGCAAGAGAACAGTCATAAGACCGTTTGTGGTTATGTCAGAACACCCTTATGTCAGGGGTTTGAATGTTAGAAATACAAAACAATTTTAAAAAGAAGAAATAGAAAGGATGAAGCCCACAAAATTAACAGTTAGGCCTATAGACTAAAACGAAAAAAAATATCATAATACTCGAAATAACCTAAACGTTTTTCGCAAAATTAACTTTGCAAAAAATGAAACGAAACAAACGTAAAATTTCTAAATCGTTAAGTTCGTAAATAGATTAGATAAATTAATACACGAATGAATGAATGGATAAATAGATAAAAGAAATACAAAATGAATAAATGAATGAATAAATAAATAGCGTTGATGCAAATTAGTTCAATGCTTGCCGTAATTTAATGAAGTTGGCGTGGTGGGAAAGTGTCACATTTTTGTACGTGTATTAAAATAAATTATGTACTCTGCTGTCAAGAATATTTGTAAGGCACACTGATATCAACGGGAATGGAAAGGTTGGTCGTTACCAGCTTTTGTTGACTAGCGACAGGATCTTCCCAACCTTCATGAAAGTCTGTTTCATTTGCTGTATTTATCATCTGAAGCCTTAAGACACATTTATTTTGATGATCTATAAGGCTTTACCTCGACGGTTTTTGTCATAATTATTATTATTCTTGTTCTCTTGCAGCGTTCTGGCTTACTTAAACAGTATAATAGTGCATCTTTTCACGTCATAACATTATGGCTTTACGGAATAACTATTGTTGGTTACTTTCATTTTTGGAAGTTTCTGTTCCTTATAACGATACATAGTAATAACAAATGGCATATTTTGAATTGAGCAAATTCCGGCTCAATTGCAAGCTCTATTTGTTTTACGATCTGTTATTGTCACCCCGGCAGACCTGGACGTTATCTGAAACAATCTCAACTTTCTGCGTACACATGTCATGTTTCCCCATGTCCTGTCCTATTACAGCATAATTATTGCCTTCAGTATTTGTGACGGCTTGTGGTGACCACAGTCAGTTCAATAGTCATAGATGGCCCTAATTCCACTGCTCTTGTACAAGGTATATTAGAATTATGGTGAAGACAAGTGTATGTATTTGTGTGTTTGTGTGTGTGTGTGTGTGTGTGTGT